GATAGTGAGAAGAGCTGGGTTTATTAATATTTAGAGCTAACTTTGGTGGCCTCCTATTTGTCAGGTCCTTCAGCACAGATTTCACACACATTGATTCTCTTAATAGCACCATGAGGCAGTTGTTATTACCACAGAGTTGATTCTGACCCATGGTGACCCCATGTGTGCAGAGTAAAAGTGCTCCATAGGGTTTTTAAGTTGTGACCTTTCAGAAGCAGATTGCCAGGCCTATCTTAAGAGGCGTCTCTGAATGGGTTTGAACCTCCAACCTTTCGACTAGCTGTCGAGCGCTTAACCATTTGTGCCACTTGGGAACTTTAGGCACTATTATCTTTTCCATTTTGGTTGAGGCCCAGAGATTTAAGTAGATTGCCCAAGATCACACAGCTGATAAATAGCAGAGCTGGATTTAAACTTAAGTGTCTGGGACCATAGCTTGTGCTCTGAGCCATTGTCCCATGAGTTCATCAATTATACCACTGATTTCTTCCAAAAACCTCATTCTAATGAAGTGGGTTTTTTATCTCTGCTTTGTAGAGGAAGAAATAGAAGATCAGAGAGATTAAGTAACATTTGGAAAATCACACAGCCCATGAAGGCCTGGGTTGATATTTGAAACCAAGGCCAGGTGACTCCATGGCCCAGGCTCTGACTACTGGGCTGAGCAACTTTTGACAGGCCCAATGACATCTCTAAGCCTCAAGTACCTCTTCTAGAAAATGGGACCACACTGTCTTCTTTGGAGGCTGTCATGTGGATTAAATGAGATGATAACCTGTGTAGAGGTTGATACAGGGCAGGGCAGAAATTCCACTCAGGACCACTGATGGGAGGTAGCCGATTGGTGAATAAGTCTCATTCCCCTGAGACCCACTTTCCTCTCTCTCCCCCCATAGGGCACCACTCCCTCATATTTAACAAGCACAGTTTACAAAGTCAAGGTGTTTGTAATGTTATAGTCAGATTTCCAAAAAGGAACCCCCAGAGGGCAATGCTTAACCTAGACAGGATCTGCTCCAATGGTGAGCTTTCAGGCAGCCTAGAGAAAGAAAGTCTTTCTTTTTCACCACTTCAAGAGTACAGTTCGGTGGTTTTTCGTACACCCCTAGAGCTGTGCAAACTATCACCACAGTCTAATTTTAGAACATTTTCAACACACCAGGAAGAAGCCCCATATCCTTGAGTAGTCATTGGAGCAGGCCATACTTAGCTTGGAGGATGAAGCTGCTCAAATAGTGGTTTTGTAAGCATTTTGGTAGATAATTTGGCATGTACTGGGGAGTGCTCCTCAAATCACAACTCCCAAAACACCACCTCCACCGTTAGAAAGAGATCCCAGGGGCACAGAGTGCTTCACCGGCCAGTCCTTAGGGCCAAGAAATGACTGCCATTTTCATTGTTTGTTTTTCTACAGATAGTGGGGCAGGGGCTGCCTGAACATTCTGGAAAAAAGGAGGTGGCCATGGGAGGGGGCCAACTCTCTCCAAAGAGGATGATGGGAGAGGAAGTGAGAGTGGGGGAAGCAGGACCGAGTCCCACACTTATCACCTATTCTCCCCACAGCTGCCAGAGGGACTTTTAAAATTGTGAATGGGGTTGTGTCATTCTTAAAGCTCTCCAGTGGCTTCCCTTATCTTTTGGAACAAAACCCAGTGTCTTTAATAGCCTATAAGGCCTGTCATCTCGTCCCATGCTGTACTCCTCCTGGCTACCTTCCCTCCAGGGCCTCTGCTAGCCTTTGTGCAAGTTAGACAGAGGCTCACCCTCTTGGTAGACAAATTAGAAAAAGGACTTTACTCCTTCTACTCGATGCTTTTTTATAGTGCACAACTTATATAACTGCACACAGCACTCCTGTCTTGAACACGCTGTTTGTTGCTGGTGAGTTGGCTCTGACTCATGGTGACCATATGTATAGTAGAGTGAAATGCTGCCAGGTTCTGTGCTATCTTTGTGACATTGTTATGTTGGAGCCTGTTGCGCTAGCTAACGTGTTAGTCCGTCTCATTGAGGCTTCCTCTCGTTTTTCCTGAATCTTCTGCTTTACCAAATATGATATCCTTTCCAGTGATGTGACCAAAGTTAAGTGAACTGAAGTCTTACCATCATTGCTTCTAAGGAGCATGGCCTGACTGTCTCCACCTGATAGTCCATGGCATGAAATGGTCCAAAGTCCCCAAGGATACACATCAAAAGTCCAAGGAGAATCTGGGCTGGTAATCTGGTTCCCATGTCAGAGTCATGGAGAAGAGCCAAGGATGTAGCTGGAACTGAAACCCCAGTGGCCTCTGCCCCTTAGCCCAGAGTTGTTCTTTCAGCTCCGTGGCTGGGTTGGAGACCATGGAGTCTAAATGCAGGGACCAACAGTCCCAGTGGATGGATGACTACACAAGAGAACAATGGGCTGTGCAGAATCACTGTTCAAAAGTGCCACCATGCGGCGGTGTGATAGTTGGAGCTGTGTGTCAACTTGGCTAGGCCTGGTTGAGTGGCTGGGCACATTCCCCATGATGAGAGTGGCAATCAACTCCATGGTGGGATCTCCCACAAGCAGCTGAGTAGCTGCCTTTGGGATGTGGTCTGCTTCTTGTATATAAGGAGAAGCCTTGGGAATGGTCTCTAGTTTATGGCACGCTTGGACCCTGCATGTAGCCGTGTCATTGTTCAGCAGCCTGCTATGCTCTGCTGACCTTGGGACTTACAATGGGCTTAAGTTAATAGCCTGCCATATGGTTTGGTAACATCGGGACTGTGCCCTTTTACTTGTCAACCTTGGGCTTGTCAGCCTCAGCAGCCAGCAGCTGAGTGAAGAAACACCTTGTGATATATTCTTGTCAGAGGGGTACTAGGGTATCAGAACAGGCGGTAAAGGGAACAATAGCCCAGTGAACTGACCTACTCTACAGACCCTCTCCACTTGACATTTGGAAGCAAGACTCACTCCATTTGGATTAAGTAAACCCCAAGTACTATTAGCATGGACTGAGGAGTGTCCTCAAAAAGTAACAATGAGACTTTTTGCCAATATAGGCATATGGAAGCTCATGAGATTAATTAGAGAACTTAAAAAAAAGAGGTGATTATATTTGTGTAACTGTGCCACGTATTTGCAGGCCATACTGGTCATAGCTCTGGTGGTGCAGTACCTAAGACATTTGACTGCTAACAAGAAGGTTGGTGGTTCGAACCCACCAGCACTCTGTGGAAGGAAGACAGGGCAATCTACTTCCATAAAGATCTACTGCTTTGGAAACCCAATGGGGGGTTGCTATGAGTTGGAACTGACTCAATGGCAGTGGGTTTGGGTTTGGTTTAGTGGCCATAACTAGAGAATGAATGAATGAACACAAAACAAGAAACAACACTTGCACTCAGAATTCTGCAGGAAAAAAAGAAGGTTTTTTTTTTTTTTTTTCTTTTCTTTTTGCAAAGCACGAGTAGAAATACTGTGGTTACAACTACAATTTGATTGCTGGAGGAAATGTCTGTGTAGCTTTAGCCCTAGAAAGAAGCTCACAGGAGCTAAAATATATACCACACGGTCTTCCAGTGAACAAGGTTCCCCATGTTAAGATCATTCCTGAATCTGAATTGAGAGGCCTCTTGGTCGAGATCCGGAGAGGGACAATTGTAGGAGGATGGCCCGGCTGCACAGTCCTGTCAGAACAGGCACTGACAACCCCTCACCTGGGCGGCTGGCAGCCCCCAGCGTCCCTTGCAACTTTAGCCATACTTAACATCTGTCCCGAACAGCAGGAAATCCTAAGGAGAGACGAAAACACTGTCATCAGCTGGAAGCGTACCCCTTGTTTGTGAGTGTAGGGGCTGCCGGGCTTTTACAATGGAAACCTTGGGAGCCTGCCTGTTGGGAAGGGGAGAGTGGAGTGAGGTCTGCCTGCTGACAGAAAGGCAGGAGCCAGTGGGGGGCACTGGGGGTCTCTCCGTGAGGGCCTGCACATCAATGGCTTCCAGGGCCGGGAAATCTGTCAGCATCTTCCCTGGCAGCTGTTCCCTCTCTGACTCTGCCGAGACCCCTGGGCCGTTTTGGAGTTTTCATTTGTCATCTCTGTCTCATGGCAGCTCAGGGGAGCCCTTGTTCTAATCAAGACTGCAAAACCACTTCTCTCCGCTCCTTTGTGCCCTTCCCTCAGAATTTTCAGAAATGAAGAAATAAAATTGTGCTGTGAGTCGAGCTTTTGTTTTTTTCCAAGGATGAACTTGGCAACATTTGGGGAACATGGAGATGTGTTCCCTCTGCTCTCTCGGCTGTTTTTCTCTAGCCTCTTAGCTCTATTAGCTCCCTGGTCTAGAGACTCGAGGCTGGGTTGTCTGGACATCGGGCTTGTAGGAGAGCGAGGAATCCTAGTCTTCTGGAGGTTTCCTAGGAAGGCCACAGGGTGATCCACTGAGAAAAGCCACTGGCCAAGGGAAGGAGCTGATACTGAGTGAGGGTTTCATTGCAGAGAGACCAGCTTCACTAGGACATGCTAAGTCCAAGAGGCCTGGTTGGAGAGGACTGTGGAAGCCAGCAGGCGCATGAGTCAGGATTTTAGGAGAAATTGGAGGCTAGGAGCATGACTGGGACACTGGGTGGCACAGAGATAGCTGTTAAGCCTAAGGGAGTTGGCGAGAGTGACCACAGAAAGCTAATTGCAGGGGAAATAAAGAGGCTGGAGAGGAACCCTGGAGAACTCCAGCTGGTCAGAGGCAGGAGGAACCCACAAAGGAGGCTGCAACTGCGCAGTAAGAGAGGTGGGTGCAAAACCAGGAGGCAGTCTTTGAAACAAAGAGAGGAAAGTGTTCCAAAGAAAGGGATATTGTTGTTGGCTGCCATCGAATCTGCCCCCAAGTAGTGGGGACCCCATACCCAACAGAAGGACAGGCTGCCTGGACCTGTACCAGCCCCATGATCCATTGTGCATCCTACCATTGTGATGCACAGGGTTTTTATTGACTGATTTTCAGAAGCAGATTGCCAGACCTTTCTTCCTAGTCTATCTTAGTCTGGAAACTCCATTGAAACTTGTTCAGGATCACAGCACAACACAGGAGCCTCCATTGTTAGAGTCGAGGCTGCACATAGGCACATTGGCTGGGAGTTCAACCCACATCTCCCACCCGGAAGGTGAGAATTCTACCATTGAATTACCACTGTCCACAAAGAAAAGGGTAAATTGTTTAAAATGGGGCTTGGAGGGCAAGCTGGGTGAAAGGCAAGAGGGGGTATGTCTAAATCTGTGCCTAGAATGACACTGGACGCTGAGGGAGGAGTACAATATGTATTGTCAAATATTTAATACTTCTAAAGGGACTCCTTGGCCACCAAGTGAGTGCCACACGTAGTCCAGCCAATGGAGAAAAGCAGGGAGCTTGACTCTGAATCGAACTCCATTTAATAGCTGTGTGGCTTTGGTCAAGCTACTTAACCTTTCTGAGCCTTAATCTTTCTTCTCTGTCTTCTTCTCTGTCTACTAACCACTTGGTGGTTGTAAGGGTAGGAAGCACTTGACACAGGGCTTAGCATAGAGGAAGCATTTTGGCAAGAGGTTGCTATGTTAGGGGAGATCTGGTGAAAAGAGACTTTGGAGACTCACCTGGTAAGGCCGAAGCACCATGTTGGAGAGCTGGATGTGGGCAGGCAGTGGGAGAGGGATGCCTCTTTGCAGTCTCTCTGCAACAGAGAAAAACGGGGAGGATCAGGGAGGAGAAAGTAGAGAGTGGAGGCCTGAGAGAGCCAGGGTCAATAGCCTCCCTGAAGTGGTGGCCCAGCTCCATGGAGGGATTGGAATGGACCTAAAGACTTCCCTGCAGGCTGCAACTCCCACCAGGTCACCATGCTCCAGATGCTTGGCATTCCTGCCCTGTTGGTCTAAAGCCACATCCAGGGCCTGTGTGAGCCTCTTCCCCATGACTGCTCTCCCGAGAGTGACTGTGCGGTCACTGTACATGGGCTGAGTGGCAGCCAGGGGCAGCTGGGAATATGGACAGGGGTATGGATAGACCTTGGACATGCAGTTATGGGTATCCATCCGCCCATGTGCTTGAAGGGCCCTTCAAGGTTAGGTCAAAGCCAGAGATGGATGTTGGCCAGAGGCCAGCTCCCCTCATACGGCCGCCTTCTGATGTGGAACTCCAGAGAGTACAGGAATTCTAAATTCAAACTTAGTCTCTCAGGTCATTATGAAGCTATAGTTGTCCAAGTGGAAGGATAGATCATATTCTATACAATGGTGTTTGGGCTTTGTTTATAATTTTTAAATAGCCTAGTCACATGGCATGTGGGTCTCTACTTGTATTCTTGTTCCAGGCTCTGCGAAGCTTAGAGGAAGGCCTGCCTGCAGCACTTACCAGCTTGGTGATGACAAGCTCTTAGCAGAGGTTAATAGGAGAATCCCTGGCCCTTCTCCCAGAGTTGGAAAAGACCATGGGCTCAGAGCTGGGATCAAACCCAGGTTTCTCCTCTTGCTTGCTCTGTGACCTGGAGTAAGTCACTGAGGCACTCTGAGTTTCTATTGCCTACCATGAAAATTAGAGATATCAATAATTCCTCATCCTCTGGGGGGCTATTGTAAGGATGATGGACGGGCACAGAGTAGGAACCAGACTCACGTGCACTCTCTTTTCCTGTCCCCTTTCTGGGCCAGATGCCATTTGGAGTTCACTGAAGGGGACCATTCTCAGGCTCCACAATTGGGGTCAGGTATCAGGTGCCTCAAGGGTAGTGTCCCCACCCATTTCCACCCACTTCCTTCCTCTAGGACTAAAGGTCAATTGTTTCTCCAAAGCATCTTACCATTGACCTTGGGAAGCAAAACAGTGGGCACAAAATAGTTCATGACAGCCTCCAGCAACTGAACCTGAAACCAGGAGGAAAATGGACAAGAATCAGGGCTCTGTGGGACCAGCAAGCCTCCCTCTCCCCAGTGTCACTCAGCAGCATCTCCCCACCCCCCAATCTGGGAAAACCAATGAGAGATGGAGGCAAGTGACAACGGGAAAAGGCATCCTGCTCAAGGTCACAGAAAGGATCGCTTGAGCTATAAGGGTTCCAGAGGCAAAGCAAGTTCTAAACTGTAAAGTGAGGGGTACAGGTAAGGAAGAGCATCTTTGAGTATTGAATTGTGCAAACCTTTGGCTGGAGGGCAAATTGGTTCCAACTCTGTAAGGGCTATTAACCAAAACCAAACCATGACTACTGAGTTGATTCTGACTCAGAGTGACCCTGTAGGACAGAGCAGAACTGCCCCATAGGGTTACTAAGGCTGTAAATGGTTTTGGAAGCAGACTGCCACATCGTTCTCTTGCAGAGTGGCTGGTGGTTTTGAACTGCCAATATTTTAGTTAGCAGCTGAGCAGTTTAACCACTGCACCGTCAGGGCTCCTTGTGAGGGCTATTGTTGTTGCTGTTATGTGCCATCGAGTTGGACCCAACTCATAGCGACCCCTCCTTGGGTTTCTGAGGCGGTATCACTACGGAAATAGATTGCCCAACCTTCCTTCTAAGGAGTGGCTGGTGGGTTTGAACCACCAGCCTTCTGGTTAGCAATCAAGTACCTTAGTCACTATGCTACCAGAGCTCCTGTGAGTGCTATTGTTGTTGTTGTTATGTGCCGTCGAGTCATAGTGACCCCTCCTTGGGTTTCTGAGGTGGTATCACTATGGAAGTAGATTGCCCCATCTTCCTTCCAAGGAGTGGCTGATGGGTTTGAACCACCAGCCTTCTAGTTAGCAGTCAAGTGTCTTAACCACTACGCTACCAGAGCTCCTGTGAGGGCTATTCGACAACACTTAATGAAAAGTTGGGAGCTCTGGTAGCATAGTGTCTAAGGCACTTGACTGCTAACCAGGAGACTGGTGGTTCAAACCCACCAGCCACTCCTGGGAAGGAAGGTTGGGCAATCTACTTCTGTAGTGATACAGCCTCGGAAGCCCAAGGAGGGGTCACTGTGAGTCGGGTCTGACTCGACGGCATATAACAACAACAACACAAGGAAAAGTCTTAAAAACAGGCGTGCCTTCCACTCCCAGATATATATACCCTAAAGACTGGGAAGCAGAGGCTCAAACATACTCATACACCATGTTCATTGCAACGTTATTCACAATCTCCAAAAGGTGGAACAGCCCAAGCATCCATCAACAGATGAATGGATAGACAAAATGTGGTAGATCCACATGTTGGAATGTTATTCAGCCATAAAGAGAAATGAAATTTTGATCAATGCTGTTACATGCATGAACCTTGAAAACATTAGGCTGAATGAAATAGACACGAAAGGACAGATATTGTATGATTCTACTTACATGAACTATCTAGTTAGGCATGTGCGTCAAGACAGAAAATAGATTAATGGTTACCAGGGGCTGAGGACGGAACCCTGATAGTGTAGTTGTTAACCAGAAGGTTGGTGTTTCGAACCCACCAGCTGCTCCACAGGGGAAAGATGTGGCAGTCTGTTCCTGTAAAGATGACAGCTTTGGAAACCCTATGGGGCGGTTCGACTCTGTTCTATAAGGTTGCTGCACTTTTGGTTGCAGTGGGTAGGAGCTAAGAGGGAGAGGGGATTGGGAAATGGGGAGTGATTGCTTAAAGGGCACCAAGTTTCTGTTTGGAGGGATAAAAAACTTTTAGAAATAAAAAAATGATAGTGGTTGTGCAACATGGTGACCGTAATTAATGTCACTGAATTGCATACTTACAAATGGTTAAAACAACAAATTTTTGTGGTATGTGTAAATTTTGTCACAATAAAATTTAGAAAATAACAGTTAAAAAATGTGTATGCTTTGTGGGCCAGCAAACATGTCTCCAAGGAAAACTTATCTGAGGATAAATCGGGTAATGATGTAGGATGTGGGCAAAAATTTAGAGGCAAAGATGCACATCAAAGCAGTTCATTGAATCAAAACAATAAATCAAAAGCAACATACAAGCCCAACAATAGGGGAATCGCTTGGGGGAAATGGTGGCACTTTGCTATTAGGAGATACTAATATATTAGGTGATACTATTGTAGAAATAAAACTATCGACACAGATGTTCATGACATATTTTTAAGCAAGAGCCACAGAAACTCCATCATTTCATTTTTTCATTAAATTTGCATAGCAAAGTTCAGAAAGGATATACTTCAACATTCTAACTAAGTGGTAAAAATATGGACAGTTTTTATTTTGTTTTTGTCTTACTTGGGCAATAAAAAAAAATTCCGAAGTAATATAAAACCCTCAAGATGATCGCCTGTAGGTGTGACATTTACAGCTTGTAAATATGCATGTTTTTGTTTGGGGAACAATCAACTTTCCTTCCCTGGGCTCATCAAATGTGGTGCCCTTCTTCTCATGAAATCCTGGGAATTAAAATTTTTTATTTTCTGCAGAAGCAGAAGTTAGTTACCGACTTAGTCCAGCCACCTTGAGAGCCTTGGCAACAATAAATCTGTGGAAATTAAATGAGCTTGCTTTGGGTTTTTCTCTTTTTTTGCAATCTTATCGGGTGGAAACAGTTGGCTGGATTTTCTCAGACTTAGAGGGGACGTAGGGATGGTCTGACTTTGGAGCTGGTAGCTTACAAGGCACTCACTTGGTGGGGGGATTGGGGGTCATCTCAGAGAGCCAAGGAAATGTTTTGCAGAGCAGCGGAAGGGTCAACCAGAGGCCAGCCAAGAGGTGGAGTCAGGCCATGTGTGTTAAGATGCCGAGGACAGAATCAACACACAGTGCCTCCTAACCTAAGTCACCAGGGTGGATGCTCTGAGTGGCGCATGGTACTGGGTGTTGGAGCTGCTGCCTATGTGGCCACTTGCTATTAGTGCCCCAGGTGAGGGCGCCTGGGGACTCTCCTTACTGATGGTAAGTGATTCCCAGAGAGTGGAACCATCTATAGGTGGAGTGATACCTGTTCTTCTGCCTTCCACCAGCCATTTCCTCAGCTCAGTAAATGGCTCCATTTTTCACTCAGCTTTTTTGATGTTTCTTTTCCTCAGTTGCCTTTGAGTTGGATCCAATTCACGGCGACCCTATGTGTCTGCGAGTAGAGCTGTGCTTCGGAGGGCTTCAATGGATGATGTTTTAGAGGTAGATCACCAGGCCTTTCTTCCAAGGCACCTCTCAGTGGACTTGAACTTCTGACCTTTTTGTTAGCAGCTGAGTGCTTAACTGTTTGTACCACCCAAAGACCCCTTCACCCGGCTGTTCAAATCATAAGCCTGGAAGTCATTCTTGATTCCCTTTCCCCTCACTGGACACATCAACTCTGTCACCAGGATCTGCCTGATTCTGTTTCAAAATATACCCCTATTGGCCCCATCCTTCTCCTTCTTCCCTCCCAAGTCCCAGCCTCCATCTTCTCTCACCTGGAAAAATGCACTGGTCTCCCCACTGGTCTCCTTGGTCTGACTCTTGTCCCCTATAATTCATTCCCCCCACAGCTGCCAGAGGGCTCTTTATAAAGATGTTCATCAGAACAAGTCACTCTCTGTAGGAAACAGTTCACTGGTTCCTCACTGCCTTTCGAACAGATCTCCTGGCCCAGAAGACCTTGGGTGAGACAGGTCCTGCCTGCCTCTCCAGCCATATCCCCTTCTCCATCCTCTGCCTGCTGTGCTCTGCCCTGGCCACACTAGCCTCCCTTCTTCTCCTCAAACATGCCAAGCTTATTCCCACCACAGGGGCTTTGCCCCTAATGTTTTCCCTCTACCTGCAAATGATCATTGCCTGCTGGTTCCTTCTCATCCATTGGGACTTGGCTCCAATATCACCTCCTGAGAGATGCCTTTATTGATCACATCATCTAATCTTCAACCCTCCCCATCATTTGCTACCTCACCCCTATTTTTTTTCTTCATAGCACTGCTCATGACTGAAATGACCTTCATTTCTCTATTGCCTGCCTCCCACCACAATGTAAGGTTCAGAAAAGAGGTTGACTCCGTCTTGTTCATCAGCATATCCCCTGGAAAAATGCTTGGCACATAGCAGATGCTCAATAAAGTAAATAACTTGTTCATTCAACAAACATTTGTTATGTAGATTTTCTGTCCTTATGCACAGTTAATCTCATTTAAACCTCACCGCACTAACTCAGGTGGAAGGGATAGCTCTGATTTATGAGGAAATTCTGAAGTTCAGAGAGGGAAAGTGAATTGCCCAATACCACACAGGAAGGAATTCCAGCTCAGATCTCTCTACCCCCAAACCCTCACACCATTTGTTCACATGCAGATTATATTCAAATGAGCCAGTGGTTGCAAAAATGATGCCAGGAGCTTAGAGTGGCCCTCAAGACAGTCCTCCCAAGATCAAGGGAAGGAAGGAGGCTCGAGGGCCTCAGACTTACCGGGAAGTAGCCAATAGCTGAGTGCTTCAGTTCCAGGTGCAGCCTGTGGGAAGGGGAGGGAGAGAGTGAGACCAACACTGTCCTGACAAGATTCCAGTTGCGGGCTTCAAGACCAAGTAGGAGAAGGGCCCCATTCCGGTGGCCATCAGCTGTTTGTCGACTCAGCATGCATGTCTCCTTCCTCTTCCCACTTTCCTGATTTTTCCTACGGGGAAGGCACCCCACTCTTGAGCCACATTGTTGGAGTGCTGCTTATCTCATTTGGAGCTCCAGAAGTGGAAAAAGGACATCACTCACCTTCCTTGCCACAGTGATTGTGATAAGGATGGACCTGTGAGCTATGCTGGCCCATTAAAAGTTTTTTCCCAGTACTTCTGGAAATTCTAGGAATGAGGTATTCTCTTTTCTCTAGGAAAATCAGGAAGCAGCTGGTGGCTATTTTGCCACAACTTGGTGACAGCCTGCCAGGAAATGAAGTCAGTGCTGAGGGTAGCAGAGCCAAGAGATGAAGAGGCAGATTGCTAGTGACATCATTTGAGCACCTGGATCCAACCCTTGCCTAAAACCCTTGGGCTTTTCAGTTACCTGAGCCAATATACTTTCTCTCCGTTACAACCTTTATTACATTTTAATAGTGATCCAACGGCAAAGGGAAAATATATGATGAACACTTATCATTCATTATGCTGGGTTGTTTTATCCCACTGAATTTGTGCAACACTCCAAGAGGCAAGGGCCATCATATACCAATTTTACAGCTGAGGCAACTGACACTCAGATCAAGCAACTTGGCCATGGTCACACAGCTAACAAATAACAAAGCAGGATTTCAAACCCAGGTTTCCCTGAGACCAAAGCCCTTGCCTTTAGCACCCTATAAGGCTTGCAGATTTGCTCTTGTTAACCAAAAGTTGGTAGCCCCAGGATCCCTGCTGTGGTGGTTATGCTGTGTGTCAACTTGGCTGGGCCTGGTTGAATGGCTGGGGCAGCTGGTGGTAGTTACTGCTTATGATGAAACTGGCAATCAACTCCATGGTGAGATCTACCACAAGCAGCTGAGTAGCTGCCTTTGGGATGTGGTCTGATTTCCTGTATATAAGGAGAAGCTTTGAGAATGGTCTCTAGCCTATGGCACACTTGGACCCTGCATGTAGCCGTGTCGTTGCTCAGCAGCCTGCTGTGCTCTGCTGACCTTGGGACTTACAATGGACTTAAGTTAATGGCCTGGCGTGTGGTTTGGTAACATCGGGACTGTGCCTTCTTACTTATCAACCTTGGGGCTTCTCAGCTTCAGCAGCCAGCAGCTATCTAAGTGAAGAAATGCCTCTAGCTCCAGTAGGCTGGGAGCAGGAGGCAAAGCTGGACCCCAAGGTTCAGGGGCTTTGACCCAGCCCCTAGAGACTTGCACTTTGAACTTGGACTTAAAGCCTCCAAATTGTCAGAATAATCTCCTGTTTGTTAAGGCCATTCCATTTCTGGTATATTTCTTGTCAGAGCAGCACTAGGGAACCAGAACACCTGCCCTCTGGATTCTCAACCCCCACCTACTCCTGTACATTTCAGTGCTCAGCCAACACCCAGCTGTATCCTTTGCAGCTCTTCCACTTGAAAGGCCCATGGGTGTCTCAAGGAAAATTAAATCCACATGTTTCTGGAGCAGTAACACTTGTCAAAATGATGCGAGGAGAAATGAGCAGTGTGTAAACCTCAGGAGTTAATCTCAAGGTGAAGAGAGACAGCGCGGAGCCAGAGAGGAGGCAGAAACAGGAGGAATGTGGGTCAAGACACAGTTTAAACAGCCTGGCTGTGGTGCAGAGGCTGACGCCTGGGTCTAGATGTTGGCGTCATCCTGTCTGCTTGCTGAATGTCAACCTCTCTGTGGCTTTGTGAATCTCCTCTATGTCACCCTCTTCCTCCCTCCCTTCCATTTAATTCTTTGTGTGACAACATGCACAACAAAACGCGCACCACTTCAATGATTTCCACATGCACATAAGTGACATTGGTTATAGTCTTCAAGTTGTGTCACTCAACAACATTTTCCAAATGTTGCACCGCCTTTAACACTATCTCACTGCCCCCCTAAGCTTCTCATCTATCCTTTCGAGTTGCTGTTGTCAATCTGATCACATACAGATAATTCTTTAAAAGACTATAATACAACTTCCCATAAGATGGAGGAATAAGCAGACAAGCAACACAAACCGTCTTCAACAAAGAAAAGAAAAACCAATTGATGGATATACAGAAGATAATCCTGGAACCCTGAGCTTTGAAAGGAACTATACAGAAGTGGATTAGGCATCAACTAGTGGAAAAACCTAAATGAAAACAGTGAGTAGAGAGATGAACAGAGCTGTGGACTGTCAGCTACTCTGACGGGACCAACAGCCTGAATATTTCCAAGTGGTGTTGGGACCTGAGAATTGACCTAAAGATCAACCCTGGTCACCAAGGGCTGCAGGGATGACTACACTAGTGGCCTATGACTAGGAAGGGAAACAGCAAGGAGGGAGACAACATGAGCTGTTGACTTTCCGCTGTCTGGAGGGTGCAGCCATTTTGATTGTTTACACATGGCAGCCATTTTGGATATTTAAAGTGACTGACGGTGCAGCCATTTTGAATGTTTAAGTGACCTAGGGTGCAGCCATTTTGAATGTTTACAAGCGGTGGCCATTTTGGGTATTTAAAGTGATAGTATTCTCATTCAGATTCCAGGGACCTAAGAATAGGCTCTGTTTGCCAAGGTCAGCAGGGACATATGAGAGGCTGACAACAGGAAAGGAGACAGGTGGTGAGTGCTGTCAACTAGCGAATAGAGGAGCATGGTACCCTGCTTGCATAGATAACATACAAACAAAAGAAAGAAAATGAAAATCATGTGCAAGTCACTCCAACATACAATCACCAATTAAATATAAACACAAAAATGTCACAATGCCTCAGAGACAACAGAGCATCACAGTCCACACAAAGAAGCAAGATAAAGCAGGAGAAACAAGGGACCAGGATACAGACCCAAAACACATCCCTGAGGAAGACGCAGCATTGGAACTCCCTGATAAGGAATTTTAAAAAATTATATTTAGGTATCTTCAATGAATTGAGAGACAGATCAAGGAAAACACAGAGAAAACCCTAGAACAATTTCAAAAGACAATACAAGAACAAAATGACAAAATAAATAAAAAATTAGAAAGGATACAAAATCTACACACAGAAATCCAGAAGATTAATACTAAATTTTCAGATATAGATAAGACATTGAATGGGCGAAGGAGCAGAATTGAATCAATGGAAGACAGAATCAGTGAGATTGAAGGCAAATACCTGAACACTTCTTTGGAAAGGGATCAATCAGAAAAAAGATCAAAACAAAATGAAGAAAGCCTAAGGTTTATGTGGGATACCATCAAAAGGAATAACTTACATGTCATTGAAATTCCAGAACAGGGCGAGACAAATAAAACCACAGAGAAAATTGTCCAAGATTGGTTGGAAGAGAATTTTCCTTGTATGATGAAAGATGAGAATACATCCATTCAGGAAGTCCAACGAACACCAAACAGGATAGACCCCCAAAAGAAAATCATCCAAATATATCATCATCAAACTTACCAAAACCAAAGACAAAGAGAGAATCATGAGAGCAGCATGGGAAAAACAAAAAGTTACCTACAAGGGGCAACCAATAAGACTAAGCTTGGATTTCTTGACAGAAACCATGCAGACGAGAAGACAGTGGGAACCCTGAAAGAGAAAAATTTCCAACCAAGAATTATATGCCCAGCAAAACTGACCCTCAAATATGATGGTGAAATCAGGACATTTCCAGATAAGCAGAAATTAAGGGAGTTTGTTAAAATCAGACCAACCTTACAAGAGATGCTATAGGAAGCCCTTTGGACAGAGAAGCAACAACAGCCAACAACTGACCATCAACACACATGATGATATAACCCAGAAACCAACCCAGCTATGGAAGTATCCAAAGCAAATAAGCCTACTAGATTTTAAATAGGGAACCAGAGATATCACCTGACAAATGAGGACAACTACAAACCAAAAAGAGGGAAAAAACTGTGTCGTTACAGAACTTCTAGATGGTAGGGAAGTCAAGACAACTACAAGATAGAATGGATAAATCACAGGGTAACCTCAAAGAAAAATGATAAACCCTCACATAAAAAAAAGAGGACCAGCATAAATATTCAGCAAATACTAAAACAATAGCAATGAAGGAAGTGATAACATGATTCATAAACAAAATGAGCTCAGCATAGAAAATTATATGGAATAAAGAAATTGACACCATGAAAAAGCACATAACAAAAATGACAGCAACAAATTCATATTTGCCGATAATTACATATCTGGCAAGAGACTTATCTCTAAGATTCATAGTGGAAGAGTGGATGACCAAACTATGGTACATACACATAATGGAATGCTATGCAGCAATAAAGAATAATGTAGAGTCTGCAAAACACTGCATAATATGGATGAACTTGGAGGACACTATGCTGAGTGACATAAGTTAATCACAGAAGGACAAATATAGTATTAATTCGTTGTTGTAGAGGGTCGAGGAGAGGTTTATATATGGAGGGAAACTTTGTTGGTTGCCAGGGGTGGGAGGAGAGGGGAGGGAACTGAAAAAAAATGCATTGACCCATGTCACTTTAGCTTTGTGTTTTTCACTGTACATAAATTATATTTCAATAAAATGCATTAAAAAAAAAGACTAGAATGCAATACAGACATTCTTTTCTAACTAGGCTAAACTACTATTTGGCTCAAAGATGACATCAGGGGATAGTTTCAATTCAGGGTTTAAAGATTTTCTCAGGGTAATGGTTTGGGGGATGGCCCCTCCTCTATGTCTCTCTGTCTCTCCCTCCTCCTTCCCTCCTTCCCTCTTTTTGTCTTTTTGTCCCCTTCTTTCTATGTCTCTCCACCTGTCTCCCTTCCTCTTTGTCTCTCCCCCACATCTGTATTTCTCTTTTTCTGTTCATCTGCCTATCTATCTCTTTCCCTCTTGCTTATTGAGCATAAATTACATCCCCAGAAGTGCCCTAAACACGTCACACATACTAATAGCTCATTTAATCCTCACAGCTAAGCTGTTAGCAAAGAAGTCATGTCCACATGAAGCTGGACAATGTGGAGGCTTGCCAAGGCCGGCTAAGCTCAGATGCAGGGCCTCGCACCCAAGCTCACACTCCCCACCACAGCCTCCGGTGCTGGGATTCAGCCCCTGGTCACTTGGGTTCCAGACTCTTCCAACAGGTGCCAGCTGAGTAAGTCCCAAGGATGGGGTGTCAAGATTTGAAGGAGGGTTTCCGAGTGCCAAGGAAAGCCAGAAACCTGGGGCAGCTGGGAGCTGTTGGTCAGTATGGGCTGGAATCATCCCTCTGGCACTTTCCAGCCAGGAGTGTTTGCCTGAGACTGAAGGATTTCCTGGGATGCGGGACTTCAGTGCTAAAAGTGGGACAGTGTTTGGCAAACTGAGATGGCGAGTGTGACCTTGAGCAAGTCACTTCATGTCAGTATCAGTTTCACCAGATGCAAAATGGGGATAATTGTGGTCGTCTAGCATTGTTTGAGGCTTAAATGTGATGGGTGAACAGGAATTCAATGGTACAGAGTGGTGCATTGTGGAGCCCTGGCTATCAATCACAGGGGCACTGAGAATGGCTGGCAGCCCCTCCTCTGCAGGCCCACTTACTTGTTCATCATCAGCTCTCCAACAAGCCTGTCAGACTTGATACCAACCACCACAGAAATGTTCATGATCTGCAAGGCAATGACCCAGAAAGTGAAGTGTCTCTCAAGGCTTCCAAATTCCCATGCCCCCCTGTGTGTGAGGCCTTCCTTCACACAGGCTCAGCAGAGCAGCTCACACTGCTGGCCTAGACCCACAGAACCCACAGGACAAGGAGTCCTCTCACCTTACTGTGGTTGATAAGTCCTGGACAGTCAGCCAATTACAGTTTTCTCCTCCCTGCTTCTGGGATCATTTTAGAGTTCCCCAGTCACTTCCGGGAGGGGATCCGTGAGATGGGGCGAGGTCAGCCCTCATCTCTTCATTCATTTATTCATTCAACAAGTACATATTGAGTTACAAAACTGAGGTTCCCTCTTCACCTTTCCTGCTCACTGTCTGCCTGATCTTGGGCCAGTAACCCCCACAAGGCCCATTTTATCTGCAAAGTGGGAAAATGGGTCTCAGTCCCAGACTGGGCAGACCTGCCTGAGGCCTGTAAGTACCATGCAGACAGGAAGTATCTTGTGGTGATAGAGGGGCTGGACTGTATGTACCCCTAGTGGTCACAGTGGATGCTACCAAATGTTTGAGGGTGATGAAATAAACAAATTAATGAATGCACAGATCAACAACAGGATGAAAACAGAATAAATGAAAGACTAAACAGATGAATGAATGAATGAATAAAGACATATGTGGATGGATGAATGAATGAATATACAAATATGCAAATGAATGATGGAACAAAGGTATAAGTGAATAGATAAGTGAATAATTGAACAAGTAAATGCATATTTGAGCCAGAAACAGGATAGCATATTTCAAGTCAGCAATTGAACAAATTAATAATTGAATGAACAAATAGATGAAAGCATGAACAAATACATGAATGAATGAATGTTCAAAGATATGCATGAATGAATGAGCTTGTGAATGATTGAATGATCAAAGATATGAGTGAAAAATGCATATATGAATCAGAAACATATTTCAAGTCAACGATGGAATGAATAATTGAACAATTTAAAAACTGAGTGAATGAATGAAAAATTGAGTGGATGAGTAATTGAATGAATAAGTCAACAAGTACACAAATGAAAACTGAGGGAATGAATGCCTGTATGTGCCAAAGGCAGGCCTGAATCTGGGCAGGATTCACACCAGGTACCCTGGCTCCTCAGCATTGCCCAGGGCTGCCTGGCTGCTTGGGACCCGGGCTCAACCTATCTGCCCATATCTATGGACAGCTTACCAAGCCAAGCCGGAAGAGGGAGGTCAGGGAGGAGTTCGGGAAGACTGCAAAGGCCTGGGCCTCCAGTGTAGGGGTGAGGGTGAGGCCGGTGGGGTCCACAGCCAGTTGAGGTGGGGAGGAGACAGACAGGAAGAGCTGCATCTTCATGTTGGGGAACTTCTTGTCCACCTGTAGCTCCCAAGGATTATGACCAAAATTAGGGGTAGTTTTTATTAAAGGTTTCCAAATCCTGTCAGGTCCTACCCGCCTCATAAACACTCCCAAAGCCTTCCCATTGCCCCTGGACTAAATCCCAATGGCTGGCACCCACCTGGCACCCTGCCAACCTCACCGCACCTTCTCCCATTCGCCAACCACAAGGAGCTCCTTTCTCTTCCTCAAACATACAAGCTTTCTTCCAGTTTAAGACCTCCTCACTCTCTGCTCCTTTTCCCTGAATGCCTGTCCCCACATTCCTCCTCACTTTGGCTCTTCAGGTCTCAGTTCAACTGCCACCTCCTCAGAGAGCAGCAGTGGCTTCAAGGGGGAAGTGAGGAAGGCCTTAGTGATCCCCCCATATCTGCTAGCCTCCAACTCTCCCCCGGGTAAACTATCAGTCAGAGTGAAAAATATTGCAATTGTTATTTAAATGAAGCTCAAGGCAGTTCCCCCAGCACCCCCCCAACACCCCCAGTGTACCCGATAGAGAAATTTCTGGAGGTGCCACCATCAGAGAAGCCTAAAGTGACCTCATCAACCTTCTGGCTTCACTATCACAGACTGTCATTCTTTCTGATTCTCTTCCGTACCTGAATAGTATTTTTTCTTTCTCCTGGACTGTGAGCTCCAGGAGGGCAGGGGCCTGGTCTGCTCTGTTGGGTACCTAGCACAGGGTCCCAAGCACATGGTGGGCACTCAACAAGTATTTTTTGTTTGGATGAACCCCTGGTGTTTAAACTCACACCTGACCAGCTGGGTGCTTGGAGCCATTCTCTGTATGGGGGAGGGGCTGTAAGGAGCCATTGCCAATCAAGGTCATGAAACAAAATGTGTGTGAACAGCTGTATGGAAAATGAACTTGCTCTGGAAACTTTAACCCAAATCACAATTTAAAATAATAATAAGAATAATAAGAAGAAGCCATTCCCCTTTCCCTGGTGGGCTGCCTCAGGATCTGGGGGTGGGAAGAGGCTTATCGGGCCACTCTGCAGAGCCCAGCCCGGCCCAGCACCCAGGCCTCCTTCTGAGCTAACTAAAGGAGAAAAGGAGAACAGGCCTTTTTCTTACCTGAGGTAGGAAGGATCTAAAGGATCTGGTTGTCAATCGGAATTTGGATTCCTGTGGAATCTGCAGCAAGAGAAGAGCAAAGGATCTTGGAGAATAGTTTGGATGTACATGTGTGTGTGTGGGGGGTAAGATTCTGCATGGGTGTGTGGGAAAGATTGAGTACACCAGTGGACAGCCGTCAGACCAAACATGACCATAGAACTCTGACCCACAACCTCTGCTCCAATCTGCCCAGAACCAACGGTTAGGCTCTGATCAGTGACAGGTGGCTTCTCTACTTTTTGTCCCTGAGAAAGTCAAATATACTCCCCAAACCAATCATATAAGATGCCTGCTTCTAGTTAGCCCGCTGCCAGTTTCCCCAGGCCCACAGCCTCCAACCAGGGCCACTGGAAGCCTTTCTCTTTTTCACTGTAAAGTTTCCCCCCTCCCCTGCAGGCTTTTGAGTCTCTGCCAAACAAACAATGATGGCTGACTCCCTTGTCTGAATAAATAGCCCCTGTGGTGGTGCAGTGGATGGCTGCTAACCAGGTTAGTGGTTCAAAGCCATCAGCTGCTCGGCAGAAGGAAGATGGGTTGATCTACTTCTGTAAAGATTTACAGTTTTGGAAACCCAATGGGGGTCTCACTCAATGGCAGTGAGTTTGGTTTTTCTGTTTTGGATTGTATTCATTAGGAGCTCTGGTGGCACTGTGGTTAAAGCACTGAACCACTATCCAAAGGTCAGCGGTTCAAACCCACCAGCTGCTGCGTGGGAGAACGAAGAGGCAGTCTCTTTCCGTGAAGATTTACAGCCTTGGAAACCCTAGGGGGCAGTTCTACTCTGCCCTTTAGGGTTGCTACGAGTGAGAATCCACTCGATGGCAGTGGGTTTGTTTTTGTTGTTGTGTTTGTGTGCATGTGGGCAGTCTGCGTCTACTTCCACAGGGGCCATCAGGGTGCTCGGCCCTCCTTATGTACACTGCAGGGATGGAGGACCGGCATCTCTTCCAGGAGTGACCTAGGACAAACCCACAAGGTTGGGACCATGCTGGGATCAGGCTGTACCTACACTCACTTTACAGATGGTAAACTGAGGCTCAGAGTGGGACTCAGTCAGGACTATGTGATAGAAACAGTGAGGAGGAGGATGTCAATGGTGATACGATGCTGAACAAACAAACAAACAAACTCACAACTGTCAAGGCCATTAGACTAATGGTGACCCCTCCTTGGGTTTCTGAGTCAGTATCTCTACAGAAGTAGATTGCCCAATCTTCCTTCCAAGGAGTAGCTGGTGGGTTTGAACCGCCAGACTTCCGGTTAACAGTCAAATGCCTTAGATACAGAGCCTGCATAGGTCAGGAACTCAGTCAATGTCACTGTTACTTTCATGTTTCAGTGAGTATTTCCTGCATGCTAAGTGCATGCTGAGGGTTTCTCATGCACTAACATCTCATTTAATCCTCATTACATCCTTTTGAAGAAGATACCATTACTGGTGTTTTACAGACACAGAAGCTGAGGCTTGGACAGTGGTGAACCAATATCGAACTCTCAAAGTTGAGACTTTGAGCACCCCCTGCGAGAAGAAGGACTCAAGTCCAGGAGGTCTCCTGGACTCATGAGTCTAGGGCTCTTCCCACCTCCACCCCCAGCCCAGCCTTACCATGTCATCCGTGAAGGCCAGCCTCATGACTCCAGCTGTGTGGTACACGAGCCCTGCAGTATTGAAGAAGTACTCGGAGATGCCCAGGTATACCATGTGGTGGTGGTCAGTGGGAAACGCCAGTGCTGGTGGGGCAAAGGGAGGCGGGGTGCGGTAGGCCAGCCTGAAAAACTCTCCCTGAGGGTGGAAGTAACAGGGTCAGCCTGAGAATCCTTCAAGGGTAATAATTCTGTGTCCCCATGCCAGGAAAAAAAAAAAAAAAAGACCAAGGATACCAATGATACATTCACAGATGAAAAAGTAATGGCCAGAAACTAATAAAAATAGCACCTGTGCATCGTACAAAAACTAAACCAGGAGTGGCTGGTGGGTTTGAACCACCAGCCTTCTGGTTAGCAGTCAAATGCCTTAGGCATTATGCCACCAGAGCTCCTCTGTGTATCATAACTGCCTCCTATTTTCTGGTTTCTAAGTGCTTTTCAGCCAACCTTGTGAGGAAGGTATAACTATGCTTATTTTACAGACACAGAGAGGCTAAGTGACTTTTCCAAGATCACACAGCTGATAAATGGCAGAACCAGGAATTGAACCCAGGCATCCAGGGTCCAGAGAGCACACTCTTAACCACTCCACTGGCTCAGCCTCAACACAGATGCCCTATTAAAAAGACAGAGTAATTCTGTTTTGCTTTTTCATCTATCAAATTAGAAGATTTCAAGACAGAGATAAACCATTTTGAGTGTATTTGTTTTAAAATGACGTGACGTTGTTTTTGGTGAAAGTGTTCAGATGCTGCTGGGGAAATATAAATTTATATGTTTCTGAAGAGCAATCTAGCAACATGCTGCAAAAGCAGATTATTTATTTAGTTAAAAAATGCTGAGTTATAAAAAGCAAATTGTAGATAGACACAGATGGTATGATACCATTTATATAAAATGTAATGACTCATGAAATGATATTGTATAAGAATTATTGCCATACATAGACATGTAGTAAGAGGTGGGCAAGAAGGACACACACCATTGTCATCACTGTGGTCACCTGGAAGGGGGACAGGTATTTGATAGGGGTGTCCAAGGAGCATAAGCTACTTCAATGGTATTTTATTTTTTAAAAAATAAGAGGCAAATATGACAAGGGGTAACATTTGTTAAATCTGGGTGATGAAGATATGGGAGTATGTAATATTTTCTTTACCTTTGAATCATCTTATTATTTAAAATCAATGAAGATAACAAGTCATATTAGGGAATGCCATGCAACTCTTAAAAGCAGTAAGAGAGATCTATGGGGTAGTGCCTAAGGCATCTGACTGCTAACCAGAAGGCTGGTAGTTCAAACCCACCAGCTACTCCTTGAAAGGAAGACTGGGCAATCTACTTCAGTAGAGATACTGCCTCGAAAACCCAAGGAGGGATCACTATAAGTCAAATTGACTCAATATCAGTGAGTTTGGTTTGGTTTGGTTTACGGGGTTGACAAGAGTTAGAATTGACTTGGCAACCAGTGGTTGGTATGGACCAACCAAGAACCATCTCCAATCGCTATCATTAGGTGAGAGAAGCAAGTGGAAGAACAGTGTGCCATTTCATGTAAACAGCATGATCAGCAACCTCTAGATAGGTTTTCATGTACGCGTGCGTGAATTCTTAAAACCAGGGAACTAGATGGCTGATTACACCCCATGTTTACCTCTGGGTAGGAACCCAGGAGGTAGGGGCAGGTGTATATGAGACCTTCCTACTTCTCTAAGGATAATTATGACGCATTGTTTCAATCTTTTACTCTGTCATGTCACTTGGGTTTTTTTTGTTTTTTGTTTTTTTTTCCCAAAGCACACTGTTTGACCCAGCAATTCCACTTCTAGGAAACCTTCAAGGATGGGCTGAGATACAACAACAAGGATGTTCACTGCAGCTTAGTTGCGTTTGGGAGAAAATGAAAAGAGCCTAGATGTCCCAGGAGGGGGCACTGTTTACTGTCTAGGAAAAGAATGACCAGCCAACTGTGAAAGGGCTGCAGGAGGATGATTCAGGGCAGCCAGGAGAAAGAGATTCACATTGCATTTAACAATGTTCTAAAGCAGGATGTATAGGTGACTTACTGGAGAGTGTGTGTGTGCATTTGCTTCTACGTTTGTATGTGTATTTGCTTGTGTGTGTACTTTGGTCTGTCTCAGCCTGACGAAGATGGGAGGAATCGAAACCTGTGTGTTGGTCGTACCTATCTCTGGGATGTAAAGTTTGGGATATTTTCTTTCCATCCTTCCCTCCCTCCCTTCTTTCCTATTTATTTCTCTTCTGTAGTTTCCAGATTTTATTTCTTTTTTACATCTAATGTATTTTGGGTTTGAATTCATTTACTTGATTACAAGCAGTGAGAACACAGCCCCGAACAAAGTCACCTGGGACCCTGCTCCTTGGGAGCTCTACTCTAGTGGAGAGACCATGAACAAACAAGTGAACAGTAAACAACCAAGTAAATCACGGGTCGTGGGATGAATTCTGGGGAGTGGTGGCCTATTCTAGTGGGTATGGTGGGGAAGGCTGCTCTGAGAGTGACGTCTGAGCAGAGAACCCCTGGTTTGTAAGGAGAAGGCAGCGAGGTGGGGTGAGCGTTGGAAAGGAAAGAGTTCCAGGGAACAGCTAGGACAAAGGCCCTGAGGTGGGAACAAACATGGTGTGCTTGAGGAAGCACAAGGTCAGTGTGTGTCTGGGTGGGGGGTGGAGAGCGGCACGAGATGAAACACTATCCCTGCTTCCATCCACCCACCTTCCATTCTTTCATTCCTCCATCCACCCGCCAACCCTTCTTCCCATCTGCTTTTTCTTTCTCTATCAGTCTTCCTTCTTCCCTTTTCCTTCACCTGTCTTCAACCATCCATTCATTCATCTACCTCTATCCATCCATCCTTCCACCTTTCATTCCTCTACTCCTCCGTCAATCTGTCATCCCTCCTTCCTTCTCTCCACCCTCCCTTCCATTTTTCCTCCTTTCCGCTTTCCTTTCCTCCCTCCCTCCATCCATCCACATCCATCCATCCATCTATCCATCCATCCATCCTCTCTTCCTCCTTCCCTGCAGCCAACAAAAGTTTACGAAGAACCTAGTACTATGTGCCAATCATGGTTCTAGGTATAGCACATACTACGATATGTATACAGTGGTGAACAAAGCAATCATAGCCCCTTCTTGCTCATTCTAGTGAGGGGGACAGGCTTGAGGCTGTTCGTGTGTGTGTGTGTGTGTGTGTGTGTGTGTGTGAATGCGCGGGTGTGTGTGCTGGGGAGAGAGGAGGGAGCTATTTCAGTGAGAGTGGTCAGGAAAGGCTTCTCTGGGGAGGCGATATTTGAACAAAGACTTGAAGCAAGTGAAGGCTGTGGGATATGTGGGGAGAGCATCCGGGCAGAGGGAACAGCAAATGCCAAGGGGGAAGGCTCTGGGGAGGGAGCAAGCATCTGTACCAAGAAGTGGCAAGGAGACCAGTGTGACCAGAATGGAGAGGACTAAGTGGGGTGCAGGTGAGGGCAGAGAGAAGGCAAGAGGTGAGTGGGGGGAAGATTTGTTTCCAAGGATGCTGGGGCGCCCGGGTGAGTCTGAGGTTGAGCTGTGAAGGTACATGATCAATGTTGTAAGCCTCACCTTCAGCTTCACGTCCAGGCTGTCGGCTGTGGCTGTTGGAGGTGCCACCAGTGAGTAATCGATCCCAGCCACAGCATCTATTTTGGCTGTCACTAAAGGGAAGGGAGACAGACCATGAGCTGGCTCCCCACGGCAACATCCCTGAGGTCTGGAACACAAGGTCAGCATCCCCTGCAGTTGGACCAGGAGCTGCAGTGCCATCTCCATTCCCACCTCCTTCAGGGAGCCTTCCCTGAGCTCCCCCTAAAGTAAAATGAAGCCACACCTCATACTCGCAGACATCATCTCACTCCCTTCCTCCAACAGCCCTGAGATGGGCCCAGGGTTGAGGGAACAGACAGATAGACCTGGGCTTGATCAAATTCAGCCCCTCACCAGCTGTGTGGCCTTGAGCAAGTCACTTTACTTCTCTGAGCCTCTCTGCCATCTGTAGAATGGGATCATACTAGCGACCTCACAGATGCTGGGAAGATGAGAAGGTATATATCAAACACCTTGTACGTGGCAGGAGCACAAAAGTCAGGAGGGATTATTTTTAGCTATAACAACATCCTAGGTGGACATCAGCCTGACTCAGCTGTCAGCTGCTTCTCTGTTTCCCAGCAGTAACCAATGAGAATTAAATAAATACTAGGTTGGGCAATCTACTTCCATACTGATGCTGCCTTGGCAACCCAAGGAGGGGTCGCTATGAGTTGGGTCTGACTCGACGGCACATAACAACAACAACAACAACAACAACAGGTCCCACCCTAAGGAGCTCTGGTGACTCAGTGCCTAAGTATTTGACTGCTAACCAGAAAGTGGGTGGTTCAAACCCACCAGCCACTCCATGGAAGGAAGATGGGACAATCTACTTCTCACTATCAATTGGGATCAACTTGATGGCAGTGGGTTTGATTTTTTTGGGGAGGTTTATGTCCCTACTTCAGTGCTTCCTTTCCATGTTCAACCAAAAAAACAAACCAGTTGTTGTCAAGTTAACTCCAACTTATGTTCAGAGTGGAGCTGTGCTCCACAGGGTTTTCAATGGCTCTGATGTTCTGGAAGCAGATAGTCAGGGCTTTCTTCTGAGGGACCTCCGTGTGGGTTTGAACTGTCAACCTTTCCGTTAGTAACTCAGCGCTTAACTGCTTGTGACACCCACAGACTCCTCCTTCCCATGTTAGAAGGGAAGAGACTGAGGTTCAGAAATGACAAGTCACCCAAGGTGGCACCACTGGGGGGACGAGGCTGGGACACAAACCAAAATCGTTTCCCTGCCTGGCAAGGCCAAACCTTAGACACTGCACCTGCATTGAGCATGCCCAGAATGGCCCCTGGGTGGCAGTGTCCACAGGAAGAAAATGCCTCTCAAATGGGTGTGTATCGTGTGTTCGCCATGCCAGGCTCTGTGGGGAGGCAGCCCAGGGAGCAGTTTGCAGCACAGGCCCTGGAGTAAGAAAACCTGGAATTTGGGTCCTGCTTCTGCTTAAGGGAGGAACTCTAGTGGCACAGTGTTTACAGCATTTGGCTGCTAATCCAAAGGTCAGTGGTTTGAACCTACAGTCACTCCATAGTAGAAAGATGAAGCAATCTGCTTCTGTAAAGATTTACAGCATTGGAAAACAGTTCCACTCTCTCCCATAGGGTCACTGTTAGTCGGAATCAACTTGACGGCAGTGGGTTTGGTTTAGTGAGTTTCTACCCCTTATTGGCTTTCTGGGGAGCTTTGGTGGCGTAGTGCCTAAGGCATTTGACTGCTAACCAGAAGGCTGGCATTTCAGACCCACCAGCCACTGCTCAGAAGGAAGGTTGGGCAATCTATTTCCATAGTGATACCGCCTTGAAAACCCAAGGAGGGGTCGCTATGAGTGGGATCTGACTTGGCAGCAGTGAGTATGGTTTTGGGATTGGCTTTGTGATCTTGCACAAGTCACACATCCTCTCTGGGCCTCAGTTTCCTCATGTGTGAAATGGGAACAACAATGTTTACCTCAATAGGGTGTTGGGAGGCCATCACTGCACTGTGCACCTGGCCCATGGTGGGCACTCAGGCCAAGGGAGTTCTCCCCCAAGCACTTTGCAGTTTACCAAGCACTTGGGGGCAGATTGTCCTCGTTTTAAGGATGTGGACACTGAGGCCCAGAGAGGAGAAGTGACCAGCTTCAGATCTTAGGCCAGCCTTTGGCCTCAGAGAGCTGGGAGTATTTGGGCATTTGCCCTCTGCAGGGGCGGGGTGACGTACGAGGTGTGGGCTTCTTCTCTGGGACCTGGCACAGGACCTGGCCCAATAGAAATCCGATACCAGCTGCCATTTGAAAAGAACCTGCTCGACCTATCTCCACTCAGGCCCAGGCCTGTCTGGAAAATTGACTGACTCTGCCACACTCATCACACCCACCCTACTTCCCCAGCCCCTCCCCCTTCTATCCTCCCACCCATTTGTCACCTGGCAGAGTCTGGAAGTAAGGTTGTAGCTTAGAGGACACGGAGTTGGCCACTACATTGCAGATCTGGGGAGAAGAAGCGATCAGTTAGGGCTCCACATAGTGGAAAATGTCTTTCATGAATAATGGCAGGACATGCTTTGCTTTCCTTAAATGTCTCCTTGAAAATCATGCAGCTAAAGTTCTCCTTCTCTCTTTGGCCACCAGGAAGCCCAGAATTAAACAGGCCAATTGAAAAATAGTAAATTATATGACTGTATGACTTAGTATCTGCATACTATTTCCTACTCTGGAACTTCTCGGATGAGCATTTATATTTTCTGTTTTATAATGTGGATTTTTTCATTTATATGTTTGTTTTTGCTGTCATAGGTACTTTATGGAACGAGGTGGTGAAAAAACAATAAAGATGAGGTGGTTGGCTTTCTCTTTATGTACTGCTCCTGAGTGGGTAGCAGCCCTCTGCTCAAATCTGGGTGGGCACTCTCACCTCTGCAGTGTGCCACCAGAGAAGCCTTCCTGACCCCATCCACACGTGACTCCTAGGGGAATAAGTACTGGTCTGAGAAGATCTGGATCATGTGCCAGCTTTGCCACTAAGGAGCTCCCTCCATTTCCTTGTCTATAAATGGTCGGTGACAGGTGATATTTCCCATTCCAATTGCTCTTCTGTATGTGAGCTTGCATGCCCCCATCCAGCGGTGAAATCTACGAATTCCTCCTTGAATTCGGTCAGGCTTGGGTCTTGCTTGCAGCCAGTAGAATGTGGCAAAAACAACACTGTGATTGCAGAGCCAAGGTTAGAAAAGGCTGTGTACAAGAATCTCTTGAATGCTCACTCTCTGGTGCTCCTTCTTGGAACCCAGCCCAGGGTCGGTGGGAAGCCAAGCCACACAGAGAGACTATGGGTATTTGCTGTGGTCAGTAGTCCCAGCTGAACACAGCCTCCAAACCATCCAGGCACTGGACATGTGAGAGAGGAAACTTCCAGATGATTCTAGCCCCAAGCTTTTGAGTCTTCCCAGATGAGGCCTCAGATGTCATGGAAACAGACAAGTTAAGCCATCCTTGTTGTGCCTGCATAGTTTCCAGACCCAGAGAATCCATGAGCATTATAAAATGACTGTTGTTTTGTGACACTAAATTTGGAATTGTTTTGAAGCAATGGATAGCTGGAACATAGGATTCAAATGACAGCTGTCCCTAACTTGAAGAGATTGGAACTGGGAGTGATAATCAGATAAGCCCAATCCTCACCCTCCCAACAGGCCCAAATAGCCTCCACCTCATTAATCCAACCAAGTCTCTTGATCCTTGCTTTCTTGACTATTGGGCAGCTCCTGGCCTGGCTGACCACTCTTTCCTTCTAGGGCCCCCTGACCAAAGACTCTCCAGGCGTCTCTCCTCTCTCCTTACTCACCCTTCCTCAAACACACTTGGTGAGGTTCTTGGCCTTGGCTGTCCATGTTGGAGGTCCTTAGGGCTTTCTTGGCTCCCTTCTCCTTTCACTCTATGTTCTCTCCCTGAGTCATTTAATAGATACCTATGTCCCCTTTAGAGGATGCTGTTGGCACCCCATCCTAATCCACCTGGAGGTCACCTGCACCTGCTGTGAATAGTTCCCCTACACAGTGGCTTCTTGTCCCCAGCTCCCACATCTCACAGCCTGGGGCCTTCTGTAGCTACTTGCCCAGGATGGCTTAGAAGCACTGAGGAGTTAAAACCCCCAGGAACAGTTCTCAACCAAAGAGGGCTAAGTTAGTGGATAAATAGCCCAATTTTTTTACACCTTTTAGAACAATTGTGAGTTGTGTTCCACACAGTTCCTCTGAGGATCCCCAGCAGGACTGAACCTCAGTTCTCATGGCAGTAGCCCACTCACCTTTTCCTGACTCCTTCCTCTCACTCTCACTAGGCTGCCTGAACCCTTTTCTAAAGAAACCACTTACACCCAAATGTTTGTCTCAGCATCAGCCTCAGGGAAACCTAAGTAAAGGTACCTCCAGTGCTCCCAACATGTAGCCAATACCCAGACCTGGGTTTGCAGCCCAGACCTCTCCCCTGAGCTCCAGCCTGGGGGCCTAACTGCCTCTATGACAATGTCCCTGGGTGTCCCCTGGGCCTCTCAAGGACAGTACTTCCCAAATTAAACTCCACAGGTTCTTACTGCTCCCCAGGGTTGGACCCACCATCGGCCCAGAGGTCAGCTTCCACACTCTCCTTCCCCTCCTTCTCCGCTGTCAGTCAAGTTATTTTATGTGGGGAAGGAGGGAGGGAGGGAAAGAGGAAGGGAGCGAGAGAAATGTTGGTTTCCTTGGAGTGTATTTCTATCACATCAGAGTCTGGGTCAAGGGAGGACCCAGAACCTCATTTCTTGAGAAGCCTGTATCTCTTCTCCAAGTGGCCCAGGGCTGGGAGGAGCAGCAGTCAGCCAGTTAGGGCACAGCTGGACTCCTGGGCTGCCCATGGGCTCCACTGCCACTCACCCATCAAGGCTGCCAGATGGCTCCAAACCAGAACAAATCACAGCTGGGAGGCCTGCCTCTTTCCCTCTTCTGGTCTCCCCCATATACACTTTACATAGGTGGACTCAGGCTCTTCCTTTCTCAGATACCAAGCCTTGAATTTGCATTCATTGGGGTGGACTCCCTAGCTCACCTTCTCCATTTCCAGCCCTTCCTGGCATCATGGACACCTTGACACCTCATTCATTCATTCAGTCTCCCTTCTAAACAGTATCTTGCTATGAATAAGAGCTTTGCCTGTGAGGTAGGGTGCCCTAGGTTTGAATTCCAGCACTATCACTTCTTCTCTGTGCCTCGGTTTCCTCATCTGTAAAATGGGGATATTCATGACATCCTGCCTTCTAGGGGTTTTGTGTGAATTTAATTCCAAAATCCACATAGAGTTTATAGCATAGTGCCATGTGTACTCTAGTGCCAAGCAGAGGACTATAGTATAGTCCTATGTATGTGTAAGCCATCATTATCCTCACTGTGGTAGTTAAGGTTGTATGTCAACTTAGCTGGGCCTGGTTGAGTGGCTGGGCAGCCGGATGTAGTTATTCCCCACGGTGAGATTGGTAATCAACTCCATTTTGCAATCTACTGGAGCAGCTGAGTAGCTGCTTTAGGGATGTGGCTGCTTCCAGTACATAGGAAGCAACTTTGAGGAAGGTCTCTAGCTGATGGCACGCTTGAAGCCTGCATGTAGCTGAGTCATTCTTCAGCAGCCTGGCATGTTGCCCTGCTGATCTTGGGACTTTTAATGGACTTGAACCAATGGCCTGCCATGTAGTTTGGTAGTATTGGGACTGTGCCTTTTCACTTGTCAACCCTGGGTTTGTCAGCCTTAGCAGTCAGCAACTGCCTGAGTGAAGAGATGCCTCTAGCTTCAGTGGGCCGGGAGCAAGAGGCAGAGCTGAAGCCCAAGGTTGAGGAGCTTTCACCCAGCCCCTAGAGCCTGGCACCTGGAACTCGGACTTCTGGCCTCCAAAATTGTAAGAGAATAAACTCCTGTTTGTTCAAGCCATCCCATTTGTGGCACATTCCTGTCAGAGTGGCACTACATAACGAAACACTCACCATCACCCCATCCTTACCATTTTCATCCTTACTATCATCATCCTTCTCATCATTGCCGGCATTATCTCATTAATCTTAGAGGCAGTCCAGTTGGTTCTGACTCATGGAGATCTTATTACAACAGAATGAAACGCTGCCCAGTCCTGTGCCATCCCCACAATCGTTGCTACATTTGAGGCCATTGCTGCAGCAATTGGGTCAGTCCATCGCATTGAGGGTCTTCCTCTTTTTCGTTGACCCTCTTCCAAGCATGATGTCCTTCTCCAGAGACTGGTCCCTCCTAATATCATGTCCAAAGTATGTGAGACTTTCTCACCATCTTCAGTTGTGAGGAGCATTCCAGCAGTATTTTTTCTAAGACAAATTTGTTCATGCTTCTGGCAATACATGACATATTCAATATTCTTCATCAACACCGTAGTTCAAATGCATCAAGGATTAACGAATGTTCTCCTTTCACAGATGATGAAACTAAAACTCAGCAAAGTCAAGTCATTTGTCCAAGAACACACAGCTAGTTAAGCCAGCCCTGGAGCCAGAATTAAACCCAGGGGGTTCTGACCCCAAAACTCATCCTCTAATCCACTGGATTATGCAGCTTGACAACAATGCATTGATTTTTAAAAATTTTTAACAGAGTGCTTTCCCATAGATGATTTTATATGATTGGCATCTCCTTATTCATATTGTCAGAACCGATGGCTGGGAAACCAATATCTCCTGCCTAGAAGATTATTAGGTAAGGCTCCTTCCTGGTCTTCCTGCCTCCACTTTTGGCCCCTCAGGCCATTCTCATAACATACTAGAGATTTGTTCGAAAGCACAGATCCTGTCAGGTCGCTGTCTTGCCTAGAACCTTCAATGGCTACCCACTGCCTGCTGGAGAAAGTCCAAGCTCACTGAGTTTGGAGGCTTTCCCTGGAAGATAGGCTCAGGTGATTTTTGGACACTAATGCCTTATTAATAGATCGATTAGTGGTCTCTTTTCTCAGCTGAAGAAACTGCTTTGTGGGGTTCAGGATATGAGCAAGGTTGGGGAACACTGATGCTACCTCTCATACTAGTTCTAGCCTCAAGAAATGGTTTACTCTTGGGGTTTGGCCAATGTCCAGCCTGGCAACTTCTTCAGTTGCATGTTTTCTGGGTGGGAAGCAGCAAAGGGGGGATTTGGGGCAAGAGGGGTAGGGGGAAGGCAGTCAGCAGGGCTGAAGGAAGCTGTGAGGAGAGAGGGCTGGCAGTGAGGGACTGAGGAGGAGCACTGGCGGAAGAGCCAAAGTGGCTCATGTGAGCATATGGGGGCAGTTTGTTGTGGGCCCTTCTTCTTCCAGCAGGATCATCAGTAAGGTACCCACAACTGACTTGTAGAGCCAGATTTGGGGTTTCAAAACATAAGGACTATGGACACCGAGGGCCTCTCCTGTTCTGACCCTTGATGAAATCCCGAGCCCCACCTACCTTGCTGTTAATGGCTCTTCGGAGTGCAGACTCAATTTTACTGCGAAAGAGTCTGATCAGCCACCTAGAGATGGACACATGAGGACACATGAGGCTCCCGGGTGCTCCTGGGATGTTTCAGGAGGTCACCTCTACCTTTCTCCCTCCTCCAAATAGACCTAGGCACGCTCATCCCAGGCTCCAACTACGTACACCCTTTTAGGCATTTCTCACCCCGTGTGAAGTGATCTTTTCACGGAGTATTCCCTCAATAGCTGCAGGACCTCTGCCCCGATTCTCAGTCTCATTCTTCAGCCCCCTCCTCTCTCTCTGAACTTTAACCACACTAGCCTGCCATGGCCTCTATGTCCCGCACTTCCTCCCTTCATAGCCTGAAACAGTCCTTGTGCCCACCATTTATCTACTTAACTCCTACTTATTCTTTTCACCTCAATTCAAATGTCATTTCCTCAAGGAAAGATGAACCAGCACTCAGATTGGTCAGCTCTCCCTGTTTTATGTTCTTGCAGAACCTGGTACCGCTTCTTACCTAATTATCCATGAACCATTCACTAATGCAGTGATTTGTTAATATCTGTCTTCCCCATTGGGCTGGAAGCTTCAAGAGAGAAAATGGACTGGGTGGCTAAGCGTCTGGGGCCAAATAGTGTTGGGTTTGAATTCCACTTCAACACTCACTAGCTCTGGAAACTTGAGTTATATCCTGTCCCCTCTGTGCCTTGGTTTTCTCCCCTAAGAATGGGATAACAATAGACCAACCTCACAGAATTGCTTGTGTAGAATGAACGAGATAATGCGTGTGCTTAAAACAGTGCTAAGCCTTCAATCAATGTCAGCTATTCCTAAATTTGTATTGGTCACTGCTGTTTCATGAGCACTTTGCACAAGACTGGTGCATAGCTTGCTGTTGTTCTTAGGTGCTGTCAAGTCGATTTTCAAGTCACAGTGATTCGATGTCACAGAGTAGAACTGTCTTGTAGGATGTTCTAGGCTATAATCTTTATGGAGCAGACCGCAAGGCCTTTTCTCCTGCAGACCCACTGGGTGCATTTGCCCCACCAACTGTTTGGTTAGCAGCCAAGCTCTTAACCATTG